GGATCTTATCAAAGGCTTTTTCTGCATCTATTGAGATGATCAAGTGGTTTTTGTCTTTGCTTCTGTTAATGTGGTTTATTACGTTTATTGATTTTCGTATGTTGAACCACCCCTGCATCCCTGGGATGAAGCCTACTGGTCGTGGTGAATAATCTTTTTGATGTGTTGCTGAATTCGATTTGCCATTATTTTGTTGAGGATTTTTGCATCAATGTTCATTAAGGAGATTGGCCTATAGTTCTCCTTTTTGGAGGTGTCTTTGCCTGGTTTTGGGATAAGTGTAATACTGGCTTCATAAAATGTGTTTGGCAGTTTTCCTTCCCTTTCTATTTCATGGAACAGTTTAAGGAGGGTTGGTATCAGTTCTTCTTTAAAGGTCTGATAGAATTCAGCAGAGAATCCATCAGGTCCTGGACTTTTCTTTTTGGGGAGACTCTTGATTGCTGCTTCAATTTCATTTTGTGTTATAGGTCTATTCAGGTGATTAATTTCCTCTTGGTTCAGTTTTGGATGATCATATGTATCTAGAAATCTGTCCATTTCTTTTAGATTTTCAAATTTATTTGAATATAGGTTCTCAAAGTAGTCTCTGATGATTTCCTGGACTTCCATGGTGTTTGTTGTTATCTCCCCTTTTGCATTCCTGATTCTACTAATTTGGGTTTTTTCTCTCCTCATTTTAGTCAGGTTTGCCAGGGGTCTATCGATCTTGTTTATTTTTTCAAAGAACCAACTTTTTGTTTCATTAATTCTTTGTATGGTTTTTTTGGTTTCTATTTCGTTGATTTCAGCTCTTATTTTTATTATTTCTCTCCTTCTATTTGTTTTGGGATTTGCTTGTTCTTGTTTTTCTAGGAGTTTGAGATGTATCATTAGGTCATTGATTTGGGATCTTTCAATCTTTTTAATATATGCACTCATGGCTATAAACTTTCCTCTCAAGACTGCCTTAGCTGTGTCCCATAGGTTCCGGTAGGTTGTGTTTTCATTTTCATTGACTTCAGGAACTTTTTAATTTCCTCTTTTATTGCATCGATGATCCATTCTTCATTAAGTAATGAGTTATTTAGTTTCCAGCTGTTTGCATGTTTTTTGTCTTTACTTTTGTTGTTGAGTTCTACTTTTACTGCATTGTGGTCAGATAGTATGCATGGTATTATTTCTATTTTCTTATATTTGCTGAGGCTTGCTTTGTGCCCTAGGATATGATCTATTTTGGAGAAGGTTCCATGGGCTGCTGAGAAGAATGTATATTGTGTAGAGGTTGGATGAAATGTTCTGTAGACATCTACTAGGTCCACTTGATCTATTGCATATTTTAGATCTTGGATTTCTTTATTGAGTTTTTGTTTGGATGACCTATCTATTGATGATAATGGAGTGTTAAAGTCTCCCACAACCACTGTGTTGGCGTTTATATATGCTTTTAGGTCTTTCAGGGTATGTTTGATGAAATTGGGTGCGTTGACATTGGGTGCGTACAGATTGATGATTATTATTTCCTTTTGGTCTATTTCCCCTTTTATTAGTATGGAATGTCCTTCTTTATCTCGTTTGATCAATGTAGGTTTGAAGTCTACTTTGTCAGAGATAAGTATTGCTACTCCTGCTTGTTTTCGGGGGCCATTGGCTTGGTAAATCTTCTTCCAGCCTTTCATCCTAAGCATATGCTTATTTCTGTCGTGAGATGAGTCTCCTGTAAGCAACAAATTGTTGGATCTTCTTTTTTAATCCATTTTGTCAAACGGTGTCTTTTGATGGGTGAATTAAGTCCATTAACATTAAGTGTTAGTACTGATAGGTATGTGGTGATTCCTCATTTAGTTATCTTAGTTGTTTGAAGGTTTGATTGTGTGTACCTAACTTGATGTTACTCTCTACTGTCTTGCTTTTTCTTTTCCTGTGGTTTGGTGCTGCCTGCCTTTTCATGGTTAAGTTGGGTGTCACTTTCTGTGTGCAGGATCCCTTGCAGAATCTTTTGTAATGGTGGCTTTGTGGTCACATATTGTTTTAGTTTCTGCTTATCATGGAAGACTTTTATTGCTCCATCTATTTTGAATGATAGCTTTGCTGGGTAGAGTATCCTGGGGTTGAAGTTATTTTCATTCAGTGCCCGGAAGATCTCACCCCACGCTCTTCTTGCTTTTAATGTTTCTGTTGAGAAGTCTGCTGTGATTTTGATGGGTTTACCTTTGTATGTTACTTGTTTTTTCTCTCTTGCAGCCTTCAATATTCTTTCCTTAGTTTCTGAACTTGTTGTTTTAATGATGATATGTCGTGGAGTAGTTCTATTTTGATCTGGTCTGTTTGGTGTCCTGGAGGCCTCTTGCATTTGTATGGGAATATCTTTCTCTAGATTTGGGAAATTTTCCGTTATTATTTTGTTGAATATATTACGCATTCCCTTCGCTTGCACCTCTTCTCCTTCTTCGATGCCCATGATTCTCAAGTTTGGTCTTTTGATGGAGTCGGTGAGTTCTTGCATTTTCTTTTCACAGGTCTTGAGTTGTTTAATTAATAGTTCTTCAGTTTTTCCTTTAATTACCATTTCATCTTCAAGTTCTGAGATTCTGTCTTCTGTTTGTTCTATTCTGCTGGATTGGCCTTCCGTTTTGTTTTGCAGTTCTGTTTCATTCTTTTTTCTGAGGTTTTCCATATCCTGGCTGTTTTCTTCTTTATTGTTGTCTATTTTTGTCCTGAGTTCATTTATCCATTTATTCATTGTGTTCTCTCTTTCATTTTGGTGTTTATACAGTGCTTCTATGGTTTCCTTTATTTCTTCTTTTGCTTTTTCAAATTCTCTATTTTTATTGTCTTGGAATTTCTTGAGTGTCTCCTGTACATTTTGGTTGACCCTATCCAGTATCATCTCTATAAAATTCTCATTGAGTACTTGTAGTATGTCTTCTTTTAAATTATTCTTGTGGCTTCATTGGGTCCTTTGGCATAGTTTATCTTCATTTTGTTGGAGTCTGGCTCTGAGTTTCTGTTCTCTTCATTCCCCTCTGGTTCCTGTACTAATTTTTTGCTGTGGGAAACTGGTTTCCTTGTTTTTTCTGTCTTCCAGTCATTGTCCTTGGTGTTGTTACTGTCCCTGTACTGTGTGTAATTAAGTATTTTCTAGCTTGTAATAATAACAATGGTAATATTGAGAATGGAAGAGTGAGCTGAGATGGAAAGCAAGAAGTTAAAGAAAAGGGGGAAACAAATATACAGACAAGAGGGAGAAAGCAGAACAAGGTATCAGACAAGAGAGTTTCAAAGGTATAAACAGGGAGTGTTAGTGTACTAATCGACAGTAAGCTGGTCCGCGTCTTCCCAAGCCGTATGGGCGCCGGCCAGTGGCGGCCCGGGGGCCTCCTCGGTTCTCCGTTTAACGTGAAGTGGAGATTCTCTGCGCCGGCTGGAGATGTGGAGGAGTCAAAGTTATGCCTTTTCTCGGTGATTATGCCTGCAAAGTGTGTCTCCAGCGTCTCTCCAAGATTTCACTATAGGAGGGTCGCTTTCTGCTTCCTACCTCTAGCCGCCATCTTGGAATTCTAGCCAATTCTTTAAATTAACACTTTGGGAACTCTACTATATTGTTTTTTTTTTCTTTTTATTTATATTTTAAAAATTACAAATCTTTGTCTCAAGGGCTGCTATATTGTTGATATATGAGTATAAATTTTGAAAACAATTTGGTAATACATACAAAGTTGAAAAGATGTCAGATATTAGATGACATTGAAGAGTCACTGCTTAATGCCCTAGAGAAAATTCCATGCTTGTATATGGAGAGGTGCAATACTGTGTGAGGAAACAAAATTGGGAGAAGCAAAATGGCTTGGAGAAAGGAATGCCCGCTCCAGGAAGGATTCATGAGCACCCACTGTTAGGGCCGCACAGGCTCTGGAGCTGGTTCATAGCTCTCAGATCAGGCAGGGCCAATCACTCACTAGTTACTAACTGCTTTGAGAGGCTCCTCTGGAATAAATCATACTTTACTCATCCAATGGAAGTTGTTCCACAGTTAAAATCAATGAATTAATTTTCCATGTCTTCATATGCATAAAAATAAAAAATAGTGGCCAATGAAAAATAAAATATATGTTTTTTATTTATGTTTATGCTAAACATATACACACATACCAAGTAACTACTGCTGTCTAAGGACACATACTGTATGGAAGTGCTATTAAAAACACGAATGGAATCAGCACATGCCTAGTATACACAGGTTCCAGGTGGCAGACACCACTAAGGAAGAACAGAGGAATAATACGGAAGAGAATTGTTTGAGGCTCTACTCTCTGAATGATGTTTTACTTCTTAATTTTAAAAGACCCAAAGCAAACATATAAATAGTTATATGTGTATGATGAAACAATAGCTGTCTATTTAATACTTTTTAAATATTTATGTATGTCTGATATATTTTATAATTATTGCTTCCTGGATTTTAAGAGACTGTGTTATCAAAATATTTAAAGCATTCACTCTATGGAATCAAATCAACTGACTATAGTTGCAATTGACTTATAAACAGTATGAAAATTTCAGATTCATGAAAAAGAGCAGCAAACAGAGGATTATTAATCACATTAAAATGTATTCACTATACAATTCACAAATTAGAATGTTTTTATGATGCAATCAGAACTATTCAATTTATAATCATGTGATTTGTATTCAACTTTTCTAAAATATTCTTACTTTATAAATCAAAGTACACCTGTTAATTTATCTTTCCTGTACATGCTTTTTAGAGATTTCTCTGGGGAAAATTTTAGATGCAAATTAAAGTTGCTGGTTTGGAGAGGCATTTTTTCTAAAGGAAGAAAGCCTCCTAGAATTGTGACCAACAATTGGAATACTCATGCTCCCCCAATTTATACCATATTTCATTCTTTAAATAGATACTCTGGAATTTAAGTGAACTATGAACACCTTGGGAAGAGAACACAGCTTGCTGTTTCAGTAAAAGTTGACTAGAAGATACACTCTACTGATTTACTTACAGAGCAGGGTAGATGTCTGTGTACCAACGCCCATTGAAGCCTGGGCTGCTTCTCTTTTCATTTTCATGCTCTTCTTCAAGTTTCCTCTGAGCTTCTGCTTTCTCTCTAGCTCTTCTGAGGCAGTATGCTTTTTCCTGCTCTCTTATTTGCTGTTCAACTGCTGGATAGTTCTGCAATGCCTGAATCCTTTCTGAACGCTCTATTTCTTTACCATCCAACCACTTAAATAAAGAACAACAAACACAGTCCAATCATTCCAAAGTAGCACTGTGAATCATATCCAAGCTGATTTTGACTAGAATATTTCTAACTTGGAGATAATAAGGTATCATAGCAATAGAAAATTAAAAGAAAGTAATGAAGAGGATACATCAGAAATACTGATATAAAATGTACTTTACAAAGTACTTTTACCGGTAATAATAATAAGTATTAGTAATAAGTAATATTTAACAGCAAGCTCTCAAAATATTTATATCACCTTTACAACTGCTCACTATATTAATAATTTTGATGTTTAAATCAAATCACAGCTCTAAAATATAACAATGACATTTCCAATGCTCTCACAACAGGGTCTCGAATCTTGCACATTAGTGAGTTCTAACTGAAATCAGCCCATGTTCCACCCTTGATGAAAAGAAACAGGGTATACTATTAATTGTTATAGTTAATGTTCGCAACTGATATTTATATATTTTTCCAAGTTCAAATGAAAACCTTAGCTAAAAATCTGAAATGACAAATTTACCAGTTTAAAGACATCTATTTCTTTACCTAGCTTCATTCCACAAAAAATGAAGTAAGGTATCTAGAAAGATATGGTAGGCAGATAATGGTTTCCCAAAAATGTCTACATTCCATGAATTTCTACATTCCATAATGTCTGTATCTCCATGAATGCTGTCTCACGTGCAAAGGATTCTGCAGATGTGATTAAGTTAAGGATGGCAAATGATCAGGATGGTCCTTAGTAGGATCACAGAGGTCATATAAAGGAAGGTAGACCTGTCAGGGTTGGGGTCAGGAAGAGAGACATGAGGACAATACACTGCTAGTGCTAAAAGTTGAGGAAGAGGCCAACAGCCCAGAAATGCAGGCGCCCTCTGTAGGCCAAAAAAGGCAAGGCAAGGGATCCCCTCCTAGACTCAGAAGACAGCCCTGCAGATGCACTCATTTTAGCCAGTGAACCATTTCAGACTTCTGACCTCAGAATTTTCATATAAACATCTTTTGTTCTAAGCCACTAAGTTTGTTATTTTGTAATAGCAGTAAGAGGAAACTCATTCAGAAGGAAAACACAAAAATGAAGTAAAATGTAATTTTAAAACTTTTGAGATAAGTCACATACATCAAAACTATAATGTGGAGGTTTGGAAAAATAATTTTAAATAATAATAAAAACATGTTTTGTCATGATACTCATGTGCCTGTTATAATAGGGACATAGACTTAGTTGTGAGTTTCCTAGCAGTCAAAAGCAAAATAGAAAAACATGATCAGTTACATAATTTTCAATGTTTTTAATTTAAAAAAAACATAGTTTCTGGATTTCCTTTAATGTTTAGCTCTAAATTAGAGTTTCTTGAGAAATGTTGCAAGCTGTTTCTGTAGAAGTATGTCTACTCAGTCAAAGACTTAATAAAGTTGATTTTTTCTAGCATCCTTTAATGAAAGATGAGACCCAATGATAAATTCAAATTCAATAAGACTTGCTGTTTAAGTTAATAAGTAGTTGTAGTCCCTATACTTAAATCAACCTCATTTAAAGCTAGAGCTAACCAAGTTGCAAATTTCTAAATAAGTAAAATTTATTGATTATATAAATATAATAAATCTCCATAACAAATCAAAATAGTATATAAATAATAAATAAATTTACATAAATTATACTATATAAAAGTATTAACTTTAAATATTAAATATATATTACACATATATTATAAAGATTTGGAAAGTCTTGGATAAATATAATTTCACTAGAATCCCAATGAACTCTGAAAACAAGGTGATATTCTATTGTACCTGGAGCGTATTCATTTATTTATAATTTGTCTTTATATTGATTAAATTAAACCTACTGTTTCTAAAGACTGTGACAAAAAATGCTTCTGTCACCTTGTAGATAGTGGACAAAAGACTTCATGCTGAGAATTGATTTTGGACTATTCGCTAGCACTTATTCCCAGGACCTCAGCTGATGACCTCTATTAGGCAATTTTCAAACTGGCCCAAATTTCCTTCAAGCCAAAACCACTTCCAACTTCAGGAGGCCAAACAGAGAGTAAGTCTTAAGTGAGCACCTTGGTATCTCTTGACGTTTCTTCAGTGAGATCCCTGCAGTGTGTCCACACTGACTGAGGATAACTGTGCATGAGTTACTGCAAATAAAAGAGGGGAAGCTAAGATTTATTCTGGGTCACACTGAACTCTTTTGAAGTAAAAACTGCCACCTAATTACACACAAGTAAAATGAGGCCTGCAATCCAGAGAGCATGGATAAAGGGTCAATCCCTAGTTTCTGTGTTAAGGAATCCTTTCCCCACTTCCTACAGGGAAGGACTCAGACACTGGTAAAAAACACTTGCAGGGCCACCTCTCCTCACACCTCTTCCACATGGTTGTCTAAAAGTCAGTCACTATTATATTGAGATAATCAACTTTTGTAGTTTAAGCCACTCCATGGTGCTTTGTATGGCAGCCCTAGGAAAGGAATACTCCACCATTCCTGTCAAGAAGAGCGTAAGCTTTCAATGAAATGGTAATTAAGATTATGAAGTGTCTAACCTATCTGTGAGTACTAGTACACATTCATAAATGCTGCTTTTCAGAAAGCAGCTGGTGCCTTTTGTAGCAGTTACCTTGTTCCAATTGCTCAACATTAGTGTAGAGAGAAGCAATGAATATAGGTATGGTGTGAAATGATGGAAACATAGGACCAGACACATGTGGGTTCAAATCCCATCTGTTCCATTTGCCAGGTGTGTAAATTCTGTAAGTCCCAACTTCTCTATCTCTGAACACACTTCACTGTCTCCTCATGGGCATGGGGGGGCATTTCTGCACCCAGCCTGTTTCCAGCACTGGATGGTACTTTCACACCTCTGGCCTGAACACAGCAACACAGATGGGCTCAGCTGTGGTGACCTGTGGCCTCCAGCTTATCTCCTTGGGCTCACAGAATTACCTGACAAGACCCATTCTTGGGATAGTCCACTTGTGATTATTCATTTTCTAGGAAGTCACTGTACAATGATACTCATCTGGGTTATGCTTGAGATAATTTATAACTTATTCTAGATTCAATTACCTGACTCATTCTTGTAATCTGAGAAATTTTACATCAGAAGAAATGTGTTCCATTAACTTAGCAGTCAGCAATCTCTCAACTGCAGGGAACACAAAAGTTTAAGAAACAACCATCCTCTGAGAACTGAGGCAATGCCTATTGCACAGTGATACATCCAGGAATTCTCTTTGCACAAGCATGGAGCCACATGCAGCTCGGGGACTCTTGGAATGACATGGAAACTAACACTGCCCCTTCAATATTCTCAATTGTTTACTTCTTCTAAAAGTATTAGACTTGGGGGATATGGTAGGAGTGTATCTCCATTGATATTGTGATAGTTTTGGTTTTCAACCATGGGTCCTGGCTTATAACTCCCACCCCAAGATGGATGCTCTGTTCCCCTACCACCATACCTCACCCTATGCATCTCTTGATGTGGATTCTTTGTAATATTCTTATAAGAAATGGGTAAATATAAGTGATTCTGTGAGCAGTTTGAACAAATTAATCAAAGACAAGGACAGGGTGTGGGAACCCCAGTTTATAGCTGTCAGTCAGAACTGCAGGCTAGTTACTGATTTAAAATTGGGAGAGGCAGACTTAAAAGTCTTGGGGACTGAGCCCCCACCTTGTGAAATCTGACACTGTCTCCAGGTGGTATCAGGTTTGAGTTGGGTTACAAGATACCCAGGTAGTGTCTGCTGTTGCATGTGTAGGGGAAAACCCAAATACATCTGGTGTGGGAAGTTGTTTCACTGTGAGAATAGAGAAAAACATAAGGCACTCTGATTTTCCACAGAAGCCACACAGAGGAGTGGTTCTCAAATGAGCTTCCTAGTCCAGCATCCTCATTACCCAAGAGCTTGTTAGAAATCCCCCATATCAAACCCAACCCAGAAACTGAGGATGGAGCATGACAACCTATGCTTGTAAAATCCCTCCAAGTATTCTGATGCACACCAAACTGACAGCCACTGCCATTAAAAATGAGTTAGGAAAAAAGCAATGATAAAACAAAATTTTTGAAAGCAGAGCAGTTTAAGACTATAATACAAAGGTATATCACCATAGCTACTTCTACAGCTCTGAACTTTAGTTTGCTCCTAGTAATGATGACTTATCAATAACAGTAATGGTGAATGTGCTTCATTATCAGTGATTTGGACTCATCAAGAAATAGTTTTAAGAGGGGACTACTGGAGGTGGGAGAGGGAAAGAAAATGTTGGAAAATGAAAAATATTGAAACAACCCGTCTAGATATGAATATAATATAGTGTACTGTACTGTATTACTGCAAACTATTAAATATTAGGGGAGCACAGTGGTAGAGAATGAGTAAGTAATGGGGGAAGTAATTTGATTAAAGTATGATATATACAGGTTTGAAGTACCAAGGCAAAACCCCCTTGGGCTTTCTATACACACTTAAGAAACAAAGGCAGAAGGGTAAGATAGGTCTTTTCCAGGGATGGGTTCCAGTGGGGGGATGGGTGTAAGGAAAGGGTGAATGAGGGTCAGTATGGTAGATTATTTTGTATTCATATATGAAAATAGAAGAATGAAACCTCTGAAATTGTCCTAAGGGAGATGGGAAGAAGAAGAACAATAGAGGGGGTGAATCTAACTAAGATATATTTAAACTACAAATGTAAACATCACAATGCATCCCCCTGTACAACTATTATATGCTAATAAATTTTTAAAAATAGCTTAATTCAGTTCTGCAAGTTTTGATAAGAATGGAGAAAAGTATGCAACTTATTTTTTAAAGATTTATTAAAACTATACAAAAATTAAAGGTCTAGAAATCAAAGAATGAACTTTGATTCTCTGGAATATTCTATTCTCTGAATCAGTACATCCCCTGGCAGCTGTGAATAAATGAGGAATTGTTGTGGTTGCTCATTTTCATTTTCCTGTGTTCTCCGCAGCATTAAAATAGCATACCTTTAGCTGCTGTAGAGTCACCACCACAAACTGCCTGTAGCCATCAAAGTCAGCACATGGGTTCCCCATGAGAAAGAGCTCCTTCAGGTGGATGTTGTGCTGCAGGGATTTAATGCTGCTCAGCTCCCCAATGAAATTTACGGTCAAGTCAAGTTTTGCCAGCCCTTCACATCCTATTGAAAAAAGAAAATTTTAAAAAGAATAAGAAACAAAAAAACACAATTGTAATTCCAGGATCCTCCCCCCTTGCCTGCTTACTAAAACATTGGAAAGACCTTGATCCAGAAAGTCTTCAATTGAAGTGACTCAGGTTTTACTGCACCCAGGCCTGGCCACAGTATCCTCTGGGAGACGGGAAAAATGGCCAGAAAGAGGGAGCATTAATTACAATACCATTCTTCAATTAGATATGTTCTATAGAAAAGAGGGAAAGTAGACTGAAAATCTGTATGTTCAACTTTTCTTTTTCCTAAGAGACCACCTAGAATGGCTGAGCAAATGCAGGCTAGATACCCAGACCATGGTGACCCTTTGCAAAAAACCCCCAGACTCCTTTGAGGAAACAGAACCTGAAAAACCATCTGATGCCCAAGGGCCCAGAACAATGTCAAAGGGGGCCTCCCCCATGACAGAAATCAAATCTCCAGGGTAACCACAGGGGATGTATCCCACCCTGAGGAAATCAGTTGATGTCCCCACAGCTCCCCTTCTATCCCTTTACCCAGCCACCTTGCACTCCTGACATCATCCCACAGGACTACAGGACTCAACCCCCTGCAGTTAATTCCCAGAGGGGATAGGCTCACATTCCTTTTAGATGAAGTGAGCTTAAAGAAATAAAAAAGGACACTGAAAACCCAGATCAGTATACCCGGGCATTCAGAGAAGTCAGCCAAAATTCTGAACTGAGATGGAAGGATGTTATGATATTGTTATCTCAGACTCTCACTTCTCTGGAGAAACAGTGAATACTAGATCAGGCAGCTACAGCTGGGGATGATTATCATTTAGATAAATGTTGCCCTATGGGCCTATCTCAGACCAGGCCCTGGGAGGGGGAGGCAGAGGAGGAAGGAAGACAGAGACACTAGATACCTAAAAAGGAATCCAGATTCCCAATTCCAACAGGAGATCAGGCAGTGCCTACATATGATCCTAAGTGGGACCCTAAGAATGTCAAGGATGAATGGACCTATAACCACTTCATCCACTGCATTCTTGAGGGTCAAAGGAGGGCCAAGATAAAACCCCTTAACTACTCCCAAGTCATGGCTGTACAGCAAGGACCCTTAGAAACCCCAGTAGCTTTCCTACAGACTTAAAGATGCTTTACAAAAGCATACCAACATTGCACTGGAATCACAGGAGGAGGAAATCATTCTAAAAGATAAATTTCTGACACAGTCAGCCCCAGATATTCATAGAAAGCTTTAAAAAGTGGTGCCTGAAGGGAGCAGAGATCTAGAACAATTGGTCTGTGTAGCCACATCTGTATACTGTAATAGGGACTTAGAAAAAGAAAAAAAAGGACCTGGAAAAGGAAAAGAGAAAGGATAAATGGTAGGAGACTCTGATCACAGCACTCCAAAAGGTTTGCCTGGGGCACAGTCCAAACCCATGGACATGTTTTCAATGTGGACAGGAGGGTCACTTTAAGAGGGAGTGCCTCCAGAGGATGCCACTTCTGGGACCCTGCCCCATCTGCCAGGGAAATCATGGGAAGACACACTGTCCTCAGTTCCCAAGAGAACAAGGCCACAGCCTCCCACCCAATGATGGGTCCCAGGTCTCCCATCTAGGCTTCTCTGACCACCATAAAAGCAGAGGAGCCCTGGGCGATACTTACTATTAAAAAGCACAAGGTCAGCCTCCTTATCAATACTGGAACCAGCATTTCAGCTATTCTTTTCTCTCCCAGAGCCAGGTCCTCCAAGAAAATTACTACTTGGGGCATATTAGGCCAGCTCCTAGAGTGTTATTTCACTCAGCCTTTAGCCTGCTCCTGGGGAGACTTCCACTTTTGTCACTCCTTTTTAATTTTCCCAGAAACCCCTATTCCTCTGCTAGGCCAAGAACTTCTATTTAAACTGGGGATGCAGGTCCTTTTACCTCCAGGGGAGTACTTTTGCTTGCCCCTGATAAAGGAACAAGTAGACCCCACAGTATGGATGGATGGACACACTGTGGGATGGGCACAAACGGCGGTCAGAGTCCTAATTCATCTCAAGGACTCCTCTCAGTTTCCCCATGAAAAACAATATCCTTTAAGACCAGAAGTTAAGGAGGGGCTAATTCCCATAATCAAAGACTTAAAGAGACAGGGACTGCTAATAGAATGCTCCTGCCCATATAATACTCCTATACTCAGTGTCAGGCAGGGACCTAACAAATGGAGGCTAGTCCAGGATCTCTGCCTGACCAATGAAGCAGTAGTGCCTCTTCACCCTGTAGTTCCAAATCCCTACACACTTTTATCCCAAATACCTCTGGGTACTGCTTACTACTCTGTCCTGGACTTAAAGGATACCTTCTTTTGCATTCCCTTACATCCTAAAAGTCAACCTATCTTTGCCTTTGAGGATCCCACACAAAAGGCTGGACAGGTCACCTGGACTGTCCTCCCCTAGGGATTCAGAGACCACCCCCATCTCTTTGGGTTGGTGCTAACCCAAGACTTGGCAGAGTGTCAACATCTACAAGCTACTCTACTACAATACGTAGATGACCTCCTCCTCTGTGGACCAACTGGGCCTGTCATTTCGTGAGCCACTGAATACTAAACTTCCTAGATATAAAACCTCAAAAAGCCCAATTGTGTCAGTCTAGGGTTACATATTTGATATTGTCCTGGAGAAAGAAATAAGGGCTCTAGGAGAAGAGAGAATCTGTCCAATCCTGACATTTCCTCTACCTAAGACTCTAAAATAATTGAGGGCCTTTTTGGGGGTGACAGGATACTGCAGAATTTGGATCCTGGGATATGCAGACCTAGCCAGGCCCTTATATCAAATCCTTAAGGAAGTACAAAAGGATACCCAGCCTTTTACTGAATAGGATGGCAAATCAGAAAGTGCATTACACCAGTTAAAAAAAGCCCTTATGACAGCTCCAGCTCTGGGTCTCCCAATACAGGACAAGTTTCAATTATATGTTTATGAAAAGGGAGGACTGGCCTTAGCCATGGTGACTCTGCCCTGGGGCATCACTCCCCAGCCAGTAGGCTACTTAAGTAAAGAATTAGATCAGGTAGCCAAGAGATGGCCAGGATGTCTCAGAACAGTGGCTGCAGTTAGTCTTCTAGTGTCTGAAGCTCAAAAATTTGTCCTAACCTGGCCCCTGACAATTTACACCCCACACAACATAGGGTGAATTTTAAACTTAAAAGGAGGTCTTAGGCTGTCCAATAGCCATCTGCTTAAATACCAGGCCCAGCTGCTGGGAGGGACAGAAATAACTTTAAGGACCTGTCAGAGCCTAAACCCTGTATCCCTTCTACCACAGGCAGAGGGAAATCCTGAACACTCATGTGAGGAGGTGCTTATGGAAAATTAGGCTGCCTGACTTGACTTAACTGATCGGCCCTTAAAAAAACCCAGATCTAGAATTATACACTGATGGCAGCTCCTTTGTCAAAAATGGTGTCAGACATTCAAGGTTTGCAGTTGTGACAGAATTTGGCATCATCAAATCAGGTTCTCTTCCTCCTACTACAGGTGCTCAATTGGCAGAATTAGTGGCCCTAACAGAAGCCCTAAAACTGTCAAAAGAACAGAGAGTCAACATCTATACAGATTCTAAATATGCCTTCCTGATCCTGCATGTTCATGTAGCCATAAGGAAGGAAAGGGGAATGCTAACTACAATGGAATCTCCCATTAGACATGCTCGTGACATACTAGCCCTCCTAGATGTTGTTCTATTACCTAAAGAGGTTAGTGATTCATTGTAGAGGTCACCAAAAAAGAAAGATAAGATAGCAGAGGGAACCAAAGCAGCTGACCAGGTAGCTAAATGGGCATCCATGCAGGAATATACAGCAGACCCTCTCCTCTGGGAGGGGAGTCTTCTTCCCCCAGAAAGACCACAATATCAGTCAGAGGAAAGTAAACAAGCCTCAGACCAAGGGTACCTGTTGGATCACCTGGGCTACTGGGTATCCCCTGAAGGGAAGCTATGGCTCCCTGAGGCACTCCAATGGAAAATTCTTCAGACCTTCTACCAACTTTATCATTTAGGCTTAGACAATACTTTGGTTTTGGTCAATAAAATATTTGGGGGACTAAACTAAGGGACACTGCCCAACAAGTTGAACAGGAATGTGAAATGTGCCAAAAAATAATCCCAAAAATAAAAGGCTCCAGGTGCCAGGGCACAGAGGCAGGGGTCCTACCCCAGGGAAGACTGGCAATTAGACTTTACCCATATGCCAGGGGGACCAAATTCAAAACTACTGTTAGTATTGGTGGACAAGTTCACTGGAGGGGTGGAGGCCTTTCCTTGAAGTACAGAACCATGCTAGAGAGGTGGTCCAAGTTCTAATCACAGAAATAATCCCTTGCTTTGGTCTCCCAAAAGCCTTCAAAGTGATAATGGGTCTGCATTTAAGGCAGAAGTAACTCAGGGACTCTCTAGAGCACTAGGCATGAATTACCATCTCCACTGTGGCTGGCATCCCCAAGCATCTGGAAAAGTAGAAAAAATAAATGAACTTTTTAAAAGACACCTGGCTAAATTGGCCCAAAAAACCCATTCCCCCTGGACTAAGCTCCTCCCTATTGCTCTCATCAAGCTCAGAAACACCCCAGGCAAGCAGGGACTGACCCCTTTTGAATCTCTATAAGGCAGGCCCTTCCTAACCAATGACCCCCTTCTTGCCCAAGAAACAACTCAATCTCCCATGTCACTCAACTTGCTAAATTCCAACACTCTCAGAGATCAAACAAGCTATTCTCAAGGAGGATATAAAGGGACCCCCTCTCTTTTGCCCTGGTGACCTAGTCCTAATAAAGTCTCCAAATCCAACCTGGGACTTAAACACCCCTCCTTGGGAGGGGCCATATCCAGTCATTCTGTCTAACCCAACGGTTGTGCAAGTGGCTGGCCTGGATTCCTGGATCCATCACTCAAGAGTCAAGAGCTGAAATCCCTCCATGAACATCACATCTCCAT